TTTTTTTTTTTTTTGAGATGGAGTTCCACTCTTGTCTCCCAGGCTGGAGTGCAATGGCACTATCTCGGCTCCCTGCAACCAGTAGTTGGGATTACAGGTGCCCACCACCATGCTCGGCTAATTTTTGTATCTTTAGTAGAGATGGGGTTTTGCCATGTTGGCCAGGCTGATCTCGAACTCCTGACCTCAGATGATCCACCCACCTTGGCCTCCTGAAGTGCTGGGATTACAGGCATGAACCACTGTGCCCACCCCAGTTTTACATTTTATGTTAGGTTTATATTGGATTACGATGGTACTGAAAAAATTACATTTAGGAAGGAGAGTTTAATTCCCACTCCCCTGTGAGGGTAGCCTAGATTTAGTGACTTACTCCCAAAGAATAGAGTATGGAAAGGAAAAAAATTATAACATTATCTTGGAGAATGCTGGCAGAGACTGTGTTATCCAAGAGATAAAATTTAACATCATTAGTGATGTCATGTGGATATGAGGTATCTCTGATATAATGTGATAAGTGCACTTCACCTCTGTGGTATTCTTTTCAAAAACCCATAACCCCAGTCTAATAATGAGAACATATCAGACAAATTCAAGTTATGGTACATTCTACAAAATTCATAACCAGTACTTCTTAAAACTATCAAGGTCATGAAAAACAAGGGAAGATTGAGAAACTATCACAAACCAGAGGCGACTAATGAGATATAACTGTATGCAATGCAATGAGATTTCCTGAGACAGAAAAAGGACACTGATGGAAAAAACTAATGAATCCAAAGAAGTCTGAAGTGTATTTAGTAGTAATGTACCAATACTGGTTTCTTAGATTAAACTAATGTAATATGATAATGTGAGATAACATTAGGAGGAACTAAAGCTAGATGACGAATGCAGAAGAACTTGCTACAATCTCTGCAACATTTCTATGAATCTAAAATTATGCTAAATAAACAGTTTAGTTTAAAATTACCATCACATCCACTCTATAAAGTTCTTTGCTGTATTAAAAGAGGATAGTCTCTGTCTCATTTTGCCACCCCTAGGAGAGAAAGCAACCACAGCTGTCTTTCTATAAACACTCTTTTTTGCTCTTAGCATGTGGACATCCGAAATAATTTATGACCTGCTGCATTGTGAGGGTCCTCTGGTACTTTGTCAGCAAGACATAATAGATGTTATTTGTCTCCATAGTTATCTTTTATAGAAAGATGTAATTCAATTCTAATTTTTTTCTACTAGGAAATAATCTGACAGCTCTACCTAGTGCTATCTACAATCTTTTTTCACTGAAGGAGATAAATTTTGATGACAACCCTTTGCTGAGACCTCCAATGGAAATCTGTAAAGGAAAACAGTTGTACACTATTGCACGCTATCTACAGAGGGCAGATGAAAGAGATGGTAGGTAGTGAGTGATTGACTACCTAAGAAGTCATTTCTCTTTTATTTTATTTTAATTTAATTTTTTTGGAGACAGGGTCTCACTCTGACACCCAGGCTAGACTATAGTGGCATGATCACGATTCCCTGCGGCCTCGGACTCCTGGGCTCCAGTGATCCTCCCACCTCAGCCTCCTGAGTAGCAGGGACTGCAGGTGTGCATCACTGCACCTGGCTGATTTTTTAATCTTCTAGTAGAGACGGGTCTCACTATGTTGCCCAGGCTAGTCTTGAACTCCTGAGCTCAAGCAATCCTCCTGTCTTGGCCTCCCAGTGTTGGGATTACAGGTGTAAGCCACCACACCCAGCCACAAGACACTATCTCATATGAATTAAAAGATGGTTTGCTTTAATTGGAGGCTTTCAATCTGGCAGAGATATGAAAAAATTGATCATCTTTCTTTTCTGAAGGTTAGGAGTTTGTTTTGATAATTCAGATTATTTAATCCAGGTCCATACAAATTGAGACACTGAAAATAGGCAAATCCAAGTGGAGGAGGGGTGGGCCATTTCCTACCCTATTGACCTTAATGCCCTTCAATAGGTGTTTCATTGAGATTGTGGCCAGACTCAAAATCCACACAGAAATCTGTCAGTTTCAATCTGTTCTAACAAATGGAGTTGTTCTAAAAGACATTTGGAGTTGGGTGTGGTGGCTCACGCCTGTAATCCGAACACTTTGGGAGGCCAAGGCAGGAGAATCACTTGAGCTCAGAAGTTCGAGACCAGCCTGGGCCACATAGTGTGGCCTTGTCTCTATTTTTAAGATAGATAAATAAATAAATAAATAAATAAATAAATAAATAAATAAAATACATTTGGCCTTGAGGGAAGTCCACGGAGCCATTCCACAGATGGCACTCAGTCTTTGGCCCACTATGACTATTGTCTGAAATCTTTTGACAGTCTTTAT